CCACACAACACCTGGGAAACCTCCAAGCCCTGCAAGGTTTAGGAGAGCTCCCTTGGGCCCGTGAAGGCTACCTTTTCATGAGAGCTGTGGAGTCCGACTGCTTTTTCCCCCTTCCTTCCTTCCTTGTTTTTCTTTTCTTTCTTTATTTTATTTGTATGTCGCCTTTCTCCCGGTAGGAACCCAAGGCGGCTCACAGATTTTTAAAAAAAAAAAAAAAATATGTAGCGTATTTTTTTAAAGGTCCTTTTTATTAAAGGTCTTTTTTTGAACGATCAGAACGAAGTAAATTGTAGCAGTTTGTGCCTAAGGGACGAGGAGAGGATCCTTCTGGGGTCTTCTCCCTAAAGCTGAGGGAATCGCTCGGTTTCTACTGGACCTCGTCTTCCTGCCTTTCTCCGGAAAGATACGTGTTCGGCCTTCAGACAACCTCTGCGCTTGCCTGAATCACCCCGGGGTAGATCTAACCTTAGGGGCCCAGCCTGGTGTAATGGTTTGAGTGTTGGACTAGGACACTGGGGGACCAGAGTTCGAATCCTGACTTGGCCGTGGAAACCCAGTGGATGAGTTTGGGCAAGTCACACTCTCTCAGCCTCAGGGGGTGGCAGTGCCGAACCACCCCTCTGAAGAAACTTGCCGAGAAAACCCCATGATAGACTCGCCATCAGTCGCCAACAACTTGAAGGCACACAACAACAACAACGACAACGACAACAACATGCCTAGCCTTAGGGGGCCATCCCACCGGGGCAGAGAGCTTCGAAGGTCTCAAGGGCCAAAGGAGAGAAGAAGAGAATGGCGCTCCTCCTCCCCAGGCGGCCAAAGAGCGAAGGAGTGCCAAATATGAACGTCGGGATGCACCACTTGGACCCCGGTCGTATATGCCCATGTCCCCAGGCATAACCCGCTCCCTGCTATTTCCTTCTGGAGAGACAAGGGAGGCTTCAGTTGAGGCAAAGAACCTGTCAGATAACCTTGAGGTGATCTACTGAAGTAGCTCATAGATCGTCTCAAAGGTGCATCTGAGGAAGGAGGCTCAAGTCCAGGAAAACTCATGCTCCCAGATTCTCTCTTTCACTTAATCTCAAAGGGGCTACAAGATCCCTTGGCATTATTATTATTATTATTATTATTATTATTATTTAGTCCTGAGTTGCTCTGTTCCTTTTGCTTTCTCCTGAGGAAGTGGGCTCAAACTTAGGAAAGCTCATGCTCCCAGATTCTCTCTTTCAC